TTCACACCTAGATAAAATTACTTTTGTTTGAATCACCTACAACATGAGCTTATTGGCTAGTTGTTTGATCATCTTAACTCTTGTTAACATTTTCAGTAGCTTATGTAGATTCTTCTTTTGACCTTTTTAATGCATAACTATAGTCCAACCATCATTGTCTTGATCTTTAACTTAAGAATAAGTGTTACCCCAATTTTTGTGAAAACCAATTGCTTTCTTATGCTTGTAGCTAGTAAGGTAAGGTAAAAAGAACCAAATTTCATAGTCCTATCCAATAAGTTGAAATGAAAAGCCATACTTATTGATGCCAAATTTTATGTTGCAATTTATTCTTCAAACTAAAAATTTTCATTATTAAGAAGTTGTATGATTTTGTCTTAAAAAAAAAACCTTTTTCCAATGGATGATTAATCAAGCAATGATACTTATAATAGTTGGGATTATTCACTGTATTAGCTTTCTTAGGTTTTTTCATTTTGAACAACTGAATTAGCTTGTACTTTAAAAGTTCTTCAAAGTATATTTGAAACATCAAAATCGAAAAAATGATATATTTGCTTTTTTCTTTCCTTTAAAATGATTTAACTTTTACCTTTGTCTTGAAAAAAATAGGTCTTACCTCTTAAGATTTTTTTAACATAGAGATATTTTAAAAGGCTTAGTATTTTGCAGTAAAAAACTATTTGCTTTCTTTTTTATTAATAAAAGTTTTGCCCTTTTGCTAATATATTGCTTCCTTTTGCCTTTTTTTGGCTTTTGCATCAAAGGCCCTTGATTGTCAACAATTGTCATGCTTAGTTCCATGTCATGTGCGCAAGTAGCCAATTCTTTAAAAGTTTTAGGCTTAATACCTTGAAGAATAAAGCACAATCTTTAATTCATGCCTTGTATTGACATGTCAAAGGCAAAAGACTTGAATAATCGCTCATTCCAATTATGGCTCAAATTTCTCCACCTGTAGGTGTAATCAATCATAGGTTCGTCTTTCCATTGGCATGAACTTGTGAGTGCAATTATGCTAACTTTATGGCAAGTGCTATAGAATTGATTGAAGAATTCACATTCAAGTTATTCCAAGCTATCAATTTTTTTAGGCTCAAGATTAGTATTATAATCAAAGGCATCGCTTTTTAAATAGCAGACAAATTGCTTTACAAAAAGATCTCTATCAATGCCATAAAGGTGAATAGGAACATCAGCACTTGTTGTTAAACTAGGGTAGACTACAAGATTTGCTTGACCAAGCTTGAGGTTGGTTTGTTGGAAAAGTTTTTTTGGGGAGCTATTGTAGCTTGAAAACTTGAACTTTAAAGAAAAAAGATGTGAGGAAGAGATTGTTCCATCGAGCATGCCAAAAATTTGTACACAAGAGTAAAAAATAAAACTTGAAAAATTAGAGACAAATAAGAATTTTATTTATCAAAGGAAATTACATTCTTTGGAAATTCTCAAAGCGAATAAAATCCTCTAATTCTTTCTGTCATGAAAATCTGCTTTAAGAGTTCGGCAAACTTGTTGTTGAATGCTTCAAGGGTCTTGATAACTTATTCTTGAATGATTCAAGGATCTTATTGACTTGATATTGAAAAATGGAATTAATCACCCTCTTTTGGGTGGACCAAGATTGAAAAGCGATTTTTGGGCAAATTTTTAAACCTAAATGATATGTTCTTCAAGTTCTCAGTTATTCTTCAACTTTTCAAAACTTAATTCTTGAAACTTTGGAAAGGTTTTAGATGTTCAAAATCTTTTTCTCTTCTTTCAAATTGTGAATTATATTTGTAAGAGCACTATATTTATAGTGTCAACTTGCTAGGAGAGAGAATTTTTAGAAAACTCAACTTCTTTGATTTTATGTCTAAATAATTTTAGTTTAATTAAAGCTAAAAAGTGATAACTCATGAGTGAAATTTAATTGGATGACTCATAAATTCTTGAAATTTGATTGGTTGAAATTTGGATTTATCTCTAAATTATTTTATTTAATTAAAAGATAAATTTGATGAGTAATAAATGAGTTTTAACTGGCCATAAAATGAGTTTTTGAATTTTGATTGGTTAAGCCAAGTTGTTATCTTCATTTGTCAAGTGATACATTTAGATAATCATAAAATGAATGAATGAATTAATTAATTGAATGATTTCATTTAATCATATCGCGATAACCGATTTATCACTTGAAAATTTGTTAATTAATTAATTAAAGAATTTTTATTAGATATGTGGCAATTCATAATTGGACAAACATTTTCTCATTCTACAAAAAAATGAATATTTTAATAATTTTACATTAGTTTAAATAGTATTTTAATGTACTATTTTCATAGTATTTAATATCAATATATTCTAATACTTTTAGTATTATAATAATAAATATTACTATTTTTATAATATTACTACAGAAATATTTATTTAGTAAATATTACCATTATTAAATTTTAAAATTATATATTTTGAATAATTCATACTATTTTAATAATAAATATTTGTAGTTATGTTAATATAATTTTAAAGAGAATACAAAATTTAAAAAAAAATTAATGATTTAATAATAAATATTTTTAATATAAAATATTAGTATTTTCAGAATATAAATATTTTCATATTAATGTAAACAGTATTTTAATAATAAGTAATCATACTTTAATATTATTTAATATCAATATATTGTAATATTTTTAATAGGATAATAATAAATATTAATATTTTATAATATTACTATCGAAATATTTTAAATAAATATTAGTATTTTTAATATTTTCATAATAATATTTTAATAATCTAATAATATTTTAATGATAAATATTATAATAATTATGTTAATATTATTATTTAAAAAAGATACAAATTTTTTAAAAATTTGTACAACAATAATAAATATTTTCATTAAATAGTCAAAACAATAAAAATATAATTTTTTTAGAAAAATTAATGAAATTTTCAAGAAATTATTTTCTAAAAACATATTTTCCTTAAACAAAATAGTACAAAAAGAATTAAATAAATTTAGGTCAAGAATAAAAGAAGGGATTTAAATAAATGGGCACCAGAGGTAGTAATTGGAATGATTGGGTTTGGTTTGATCGTTTCATGTTTGATTTTTTGGATTTGACATTTGAGTTATTTAGATTTGGATCATTTTAAATTAAAATTACTAAATTTTCAAGATAAATCAATTTAATGTCAAATTATTTCAAGTTTTTGAGTTTATATCATTTAAATTCGAGTTAATTCATATTCAAATTATTTGGTGTTTACATTTTTTACTTTTCTTCATTAAATTGGTATTGAGTTGGATTTAGGTTAGGACTAGCTTTTGCCAGCTCCCGTGGGTGTTGCAAAAAATTTGCAAATACTAGCACTGTCGGGTAAAGTTTTGAGTTATAGATAACAAAGGTAAAATATAATCCGATCGTGTTAAAGCACTTACGAAAGCAAAGGCAATGAGATCCCAAGGAAATGATGATACCCCCCCCAACCCCCAATTAGCATATCTAGCTAAACGCGTTCAAACCACTGAAATGGGAGAATGGAATCCCACGTGTAACATCCTTAAAATACCAAAGTCCCCTCCCCCAGTCCACAAAACAAGACACTCAAAGTGGGTTTCAAAATGGGAACCAGCTGCATGCCAATTCCCATGCACTTCCACCTCTTCTGACTCGTGCATAAAGACACTTGTAACAATATTCTCTTTATAATGTTTCTGTTTCATTTGTCATTTAAAATTTTAATCTTTTGAAATCATGATCTTTTCAATTCTTTTAAATTTATTCATCCATCACCACATTGTTAGAATATTCACGGAATTTGCCACGCATGCATCACCGCATGGCAAATTTCATCCATATTAACCGTCTATCAATGGATGAATGGATTCGAAATAATTTTAAATAAAAATTCATGAATGATCAAACTTTATGTTGGATTGTCCAATTATATGTTGTTTCGTTTGTTTGTTTATTCATTTGATTTAATTCATTCATTTTTTATATGTAATACTTGAATATAATTATATAATATATCTTGTATTAATAACTTTGTAACAAATTTTCTATGCTTAGATATGTACAATACATAGTATGTATTTTACTTAATGAAAGGTAAGTAATATTTGAAAATTGGAATATGAAGGCTTTTAGTAGTTGGGAAGAAGAGAATTAGATTTATGAGATGTGAGAGAATTAATATAAATATATACATTCAATAATTAAGCTTCAATATGTTTAAAAAAAAAAAAACCAAAAGAGAAGGCAATATAAATGGGGATTACAAAACATAAGTCGTCAAATAATTAAAGAGCATACAAAGGGAAGAATGGAACTACCCCACAATGTATGATAAATTTTAAGAAATGGACGAGAGCCAAGTCTTTTGGTGAAGAACTTTTGAGTTTTATGTTGGGCAATTTGCAGCGGCCCACCACTGCACTAAACCATAAAGATGTAAAAGAAATAACAGGGTGGAGGATCAGGTTAATGTCTTCTCAAATTTTTCCAGAACATTTTCTTTTTAGCCACTAAAAGGAAGCACTGCATACTATTTGGAAAGCGGGAAACGACCTAGGTTGAATCCGAACTGAGTTTGGATCAGTTTTGTCTTATTACGTACTTCTTAAACATTAATATTGACAAATTATAATCTTCTTTATAATAATCTTCAACCTAATTAGTCTTTTTTTCATAATTAAATGAGTCTTATTAATGCTTGACTCATTAATTTTGGCTAAGTTGGATTTAACAATAAGTTTAGTGAATTTGTTACGTGTCGCTTACATGCGATTAAGTAACTAAGATTATCATGTTTACAACTAATCAGTTTTGGTGGATGAAATGATTGACCACTACCTTTAATTATTGTTATTAAAAAAAGTGTTTCAATTACCAGTTTTTGTTTATATTTAAAATTGTCATGATTTAAATTATGATCACTGAGATTAAAAGTTCAACTAAATTTATATTTAGATCAACTTTATTAAATTCTTCGCATGTATATATAAATGCATCTCCTCTCCTCCCTTGTAGTAAACTAAGTAATCTCGATACCTTGTATTACTTGTTCATATATATGCTGTTGAATTCACCTTTGGATTTAGCAAAGATCATGGCCATGGCTAATTTACTAAGTATGTTTATACTAATGGAGATGATAGTGAGCGGCTTTGGATTCGGAGTAGATGGTCTCCGCATGGACTACTACATCATGAGTTGCCCATTTGCTGAATCAATTATAAAGAATACAGTTAACAGAGCTTTGCGAAATGATCCAACTCTGGCAGCAGCCCTGGTTAGAATGCATTTCCATGACTGCTTTGTTGAGGTGCATGCCTTTCTCTGTCTCTCTCCTTTTTTATTTTTCATTTTTCATTCCTCTTCTTGCCAGTGGCATATCCAGGATATTCATTGGAGGCGTCTAGGATTTACCCACAAAAAACTGTTGATTGATTTATCAATTCTATTGACGAAAAGGGTTTCCAAAGAAAAATTTTGAGTGTCGTTCAATTTTTCTTGATTTCTAATCTTTGGGGTGGGGGTGTCTATAGACATCTTAGTATACACATGGATCTGCCTCTGCTTCTTGGGAATTTGGCATATAGAGGCTTAATCTGTTTGGTGGTATTGGTGACTTAGGGATGTGATGGGTCGGTTCTCATTGATTCAACAAAGGACAACATAGCAGAAAAGGACTCCCCCGGAAACTTGAGCTTGCGAGGCTATGAAGTTATTGATGATGCAAAGGATCAGCTGGAAGAGCAATGCCCGGGCATTGTCTCCTGTGCGGATATTGTTGCAATGGCCGCCAGAGATGCAATTTTCTGGGTAACAAACTGCTTAACCTGCTATATGTATCATTGGTTTCCTTCACGATCAGCTGCTAAGTTGTCCTATTAATTAAATATTGAACAAATGATTTGACAGGCTGGGGGTCCAGTGTATGATATACCAAAAGGAAGAAAAGATGGAAGAAGGTCTAAGATAGAAGACACAATCAACCTGCCTTTCCCCTCCTTCAACACCTCAGAGCTGATCAAGGCCTTTGGGCAGCGAGGTTTCAGTGCTCAAGAAATGGTTGCTTTATCTGGTAAGTAATTGCAAAAAAAAAAAAAAAGTCAAGTGTTATTTAAGTACTTTAGCTTGGTAACGAATCAAGCTATTAGTATCTAATCTAATTCTTGCCAATGAATAAATGAAGGGGCACACACGTTGGGAGTGGCAAGGTGCTCATCATTCAAAGCCAGATTGAGTAACACAGATCCTACTCTAGATTCGGATTTCGCCAAGACATTGTCGAAAACATGTAGCACCGGCGACAATGCAGAGCAACCTTTCGATACTACCCCAAACACTTTCGACAATTTTTACTTCAATGCGTTGATCAGGAAAAATGGGGTTCTTTTCTCGGATCAAGTATTATATACGACGCCTAGAACTAGAGCCATTGTGAATGGTTATGCCATGAACCAAGCTATGTTTTTCTTTGATTTCCTGCAGGCAATGGTGAAAATGGGCGTGCTTGATATTAAGGAAGGATCAAAGGGAGAAGTGCGAGAGAATTGCCGCAAAATTAACTGAAATTACTACTATAGAGTTTTGAGTTTTTCAAAATTTTGTTCTGTGATTTATATTTACATGGTTGCATAAAATAAAATAATAACACACTCTCATGCCCTGTCTCTGTAAGCGTATTGCCTCTCTTGTAGGTTTGAACGGGTGTGAAACATGTTTTATTTATAATAACATTTATAAAATCTCCGACTGGAATTAATGTCAAGAGTAAATGAACTGAACTCACTTCGGGAATTTATAAAAAAAAAAAAAAAACTCTTAATATAATACTAAAACATAAATTAGTAAGGATATTTTAAGCTTTCACTTTCTTTGAAAATATGGTTTAAATAAACTTTTAACTATTTTTTTTATTTCAAAACTACACATCATTTATATTCCTATTTTTTCTTTAGTTTATATTTTCAAACAAATATATTTTCTTCCTCTTTTAACATTTTTTTTTTATAAAAGAATCCAAGACTTACTAAAGATTTGAAGAGGAATTTGCAAGTTTTAAAAATCCCAGCTCCTAACAGAGGTTTAGGCTAAACCTGGTGTTCTCTTTTAACTTTTACATGTTAGGTACATAACAACAAGTAATAGTTCAAATAAGAATAACTATAGAAAAGAATCCCTTCAACAAAATAGTACGATAAAAATTTACCAAATTCAACTATTGAAATAGTAATTAATTGTACAAATTGAATAAATGATTTTTGGTAATCCAAAAAAATTCATTTAAAGCATTGCTTGTGTAGAGAATTGAATAGAAAAATACATTACAAGAACCTAAGTCCCCATCGGTAATATTCATTATTGACGAAATTTTTGATGAAACATTTCCGTTGGAAAAAAAATGAAGACTTTAAAATTTTTATCGATAATGCAAAATTCTGTTGGAAATAAATAGGCTTGCACTGACGAAAAATTTTCGTTTGTAATTTCTTTACGTTGGTGATGTTATTTTTTGTATTTAAATTATTTTTAATTAATTAAAAATTTTCATCCGGTAAGAAGTAGCAATGGAACTTTTCATTGTAATAAATTTACAAAGACGAAATATTTCATTATTTTAATTTAATTTCAAAAAATTGTTCCATCCCAAATACCCCTAAACCATAAGCACATAAACTCAGTCTCATATTTCGAGGCACGTTTGCAAAAGATTGATGTGTATGATCCAAGTGTCGTAGGCTTCATCGTTAATGAGGTGAACGAACACTTTATCGTTATGTGCATGTCAAGTTATAGACTCTACATTTAATTTGTATATATAAAACCTTTGAAGCTTACGTATAAGTGGCAAGTAACACAAAATTTTGAAAGAAATTTTTTTACCCTCATTTTTATTTGCTTAGTTTATATCGATGATAACCATATATTTAACAATAAATTAACTTGATATACTTTTTATAAAACAATATGCAATTATTCTCATAGCAATCTCTTTTTTAATGTTGACAACCAAGTTATTTGCAAGAAACTCATCTTTTATCTTGCTTCATAGTCTTGTTTTGAGGATCTTCACAATTGAAAATGCACGCTCACTAGTTGTTGAAACACTAAATGAGTTAAAATAAGTATGATAAATCTATAAATTAGATAATATAATTTTGATTTTTATGCTTCTGTCAGAACAAGGCACAATTGTGATAAAAAAAAAAAAAGATAAATTTTGTAATTTCACATCATTATGATATTATACTCAAAATATTTCAATTGAAATTTCAAATTCCATCTTTCTTGGTCAGTAAACCAAGAGGATAATACCTTTTCTACAAAAAAGCAAATATCATCAATACTAAAAGACTTGTACTTTTCTCTTTGATCTAAAAAGTGCTAAGTGTCAAAAGATCCATAGCTTATTCACTAATCCTATTGTTTAGCTCATGTAATTGAAAATTAATAACTTTATTGAATATGTCAAAATGATAATAGTGTTCCATAGTGATTTGATTTCATTGAAGTCAACATTGACCTTTAAAATATTGAGCATTCAAATCAAGAACACTCAAATCATGCTTGTCACAAAATGGTATCTCATTCTCAAGCAAACTATTGCAACCATCTTATCTCAATTTTTGAATCAACATTTTTGTACTTGAAACCAAATGCATAGCATTCAAAATGTTTTGAGATTTTTATTGAAAAGCTTGGCATAATACATCATTAATGCCCATGATCTCTTTCATCAAGTATAAAATAAAAATATATTCAAATGATTGAATCAACTTCGATGCAACACTGGCATCCCTTCGTTAAGAATCAATGGATCCTTCTCTTTTAATATTTTTAAGCACTAAACATGTTGCATCAAATATTATTATAAGATTGCATATAGAATAAAAATGAGAACTACAAAGAATATCATCAACTTGTTTTAAAGTGCGAATTTGATTAGCACTTTTTTCATTCTCAAGCTCATCAATAGTTAGCATGCATGCAAATTTAACTACTTGAGTAGCTTGTAATTCTTGTAGACACCCCATTTTATCCAGGATTTTCATCTATGGGAAGCTTGATACAAGCTCAATTTTAGAATTTTATTTAATTTTAATGTTTTGTGATTTAGTTCTAGTCTAATTTCATCATTATCTAGTTAATATTTTTGGAAGGCCGGACTTAATGGGAGGAAGGGAGTGACAGTGATTGGGTTAGAGTGGGATTCATATTGTGGAAGATAAATTTTAGTTTTTCTTTCATAAAGCAAGAGGAATCACGATTGATTTAAAATTCTCCTAACTTTAGTCCTATAAATTCAGCACTGACACAAGGGAGACGAGGGAAAGTACAAAAAAAAAAAGAAAAAGAAAAAGAAAACTTTCTTCCTTGCTTCCTTCGTTAGGCCTTTCTACCCCAAGCTGCCGACAATCACCTCTCATCTTGCCTAACGACCACATCTGACGTTGGCGCTACCATACTTCTTTCTTCCTTTTTCTCCGCATGTCTTTATTCCCTTCAATGTCACTTTCTTTCACTGTGAGTTGCAGTCATGTACAAAAGGCATGAAGTATCGGTTATAATGATAGACCTAAGGTCTCACACTTGCAAAGCTGGTTTTACCGATGAAGATGTTTCCAACATTATGTTTCCTTTTGTTATGGGGTTCATTGATCAAATAGATGCGACCGATGATGACAACGAAAACAACGATTCTGAGACTAACAACAATAATGTTGATTCCAACAAACCCAAGGGAAAACATAGATTGTATGTAGGCTCTCAAACCTTGGGTTTTTAACGTAGGCATATGGAGGTTCTATCTCCATTAAAGGATAGGGTTGTTATTGATTGGGATATTATTGATAGCATATGGGATCATGCTTTTAGGGAGTGTTTACTCATTAATCCTAAGGAACATCAAATGCTACTTGCGGAGCCATCTTTCAGCATACAAAAAAATCAAAGAAAAAAGGGAAAGAAGGCTGACGACGATGGCCTTCTTCTCCATTTTCTTCTTTACTCTCTTTTTCCTTTCATGTGCTTTTTAAGTGATCACCCACTTCAAAGGCATTGACTTAGCAATAAGTCCAGTGCTAGATGTCACCCCAACCCCCCTTTCTAGGCATTCATCCATTCACGGTTCTAAAGATGTTTTGTTATATGACTTAGTTCAAGTTTTTGGTCTCTTAAGATTGAAACTTGAGAGTTATGCCAATTTTTTTCGTGCTTCTTTAGCCCCATTTGTTTTAATACCTGAAAGATTACACACTAAAATACAAGTTTGCTTTCATCAGAATGCTTCACTTGGATTATGCAACTATGAGAATGATGATTGGAAGGCAATGCAAAAGGGTATATGGCATGCTATTATGTCACCTTATGATGATAGGTACATTGATGTGAAGTTCATTGGTGATGTGTCTGGCTCTATTACGATTGCTATTGAAGAAGATTTAAAGTGATGGCGGCTTGTGTTTATTGCTTTAGGATTGGTTTTGCTGCTGTCGGTCAGCAATTGGGTTCCTTTTTACTATAATTGTTCAATGGCTATTGGAATTTTTCTTGTCATTATAATTATTCTCTTTCAAGGAATGAAATTGTTGCCAACAGGAAGGAAAAATATCTTCTATCTCACTATATATGGATCAGTACTTGGAGCTGGATCTTTTCTTTTACATCAATTCTCCGTACTGGTAAATTCAATTCTTGTCAATTTTGGGTTAAACAAAGAGATGCATAATTCATTTTTGCCTTAAGCCAAGCCATTTCAGCCACTAAGCCAAGCTGTTTCAAGTTTTTTTTTAATAGTTATTTATTTATTTATTTTTTATTATTATTGTTGTTGTTGTTATTATTTCTAAGTTAGAATTATTTGGTATTCCTTAATTTTTTTTTCCTAAGATAAAAATTCTCAAAAAATATTTTTGAGGAAAAGTTGAAAGTATCAATTTTTCTTAAAGTAAAATTTCTAAAATAAAAATTATCAAAAAACATTTGAGGAAAAGTTGAAAGTACCAATTTTCCTTAAAAATAAAAATTATCAAGAAAAACATTTTAAGGAAAAGTTGAAAGTATCAATTTTCCTTGTACAAAAGCAATAAGTTTTTTTAAAATGAAAAGAAAAAGATTTATATCAAAAGGTGAATCATTATTCTTTTTTATTGTTTTATTTTATTTCTTTTTTATTTCTTTTTTGTAAATTTTTTTAATGTTAAAAATCTGACGATTGAGTCTCTACAAGTGAAACAGTAGTTTTCTTGCATACTCTTGAGGTGAGGGGATTTTTCTTAATTTTTTACCAAAAGTATTGGAGTCAATCAAGAATAATTTTCAATAATTAATTACTTGATAAATTTTCAGGCTTAATGGGTAACATGAAATCAAGTTGGTACCATCATTTGATAGACGTTATGAGGGTGTTATAACTTTTTTCACACGTAACCATACTCTCAATCTTTTTTTTGGTTAATAGACCCGAACCTATTCTTTTAGGGACCCTTAAGATTAGGTATTTCTTGAAATGATAGATTCCTTAGGTGGCCAATCGCACCTAAACAAAAAAGATTGGTGGCGACTCCTTAAAGTCAATGTCTAGCAATAGATCCCCAGATCTATATGTTATGATAGTTTGGTGACTCCACTGGGGACGTCAAGAGTTAGGCCAACAAATGAATTTATGTTTTCCAAAAGCCTAATAAAATTGAACTTTTTGTATAGATTTTTTTATTCATTCATTCTATTTATTTACTTTGTTAACACTATCATTCATATGCATGTGCA